AAGAAGAAGAAGAAGAAGAAGAAGAAGAAGAAGAGAGAGAGAGAAAGAGAGAGAGAAAGAAAGAGAGAGAGAAAGAAAGGAAGGAAGAAAGGAAGGAAGAAAGGAAGGAAGAAAGAAAGAACCCACTCCTTATTGAACATTACCATGTCCTTCACAGAGATCTCATTTTTAATACTTCCGACAGCCCTGCCTTGTGGGTATTATTGCCACCATTCACAGGAGACACTGAGAGGTAGAGCCACCTGGGCATGATCATATAACTAGTAAGTATCTGAAGCAAAGCCTGATAAGACCTTTAGAGGCATAGACCCTGAAAAGACCTGGGTCCTGCCCCCAGGTAATTCAACTGCAAATAGCACAGTCCTAATTCGTAAGATGAGAAGGGTGGGGAGGAAAGGCCAACAAAGTTCAGATTTCCTGTGATGCATTTGTCAGTGTTTTTGAGATGCCATTCTTTCCAGGAGAAAACTGCACATATACTTTCCTGGTGCCTGAACACGCACGCAGTCAGCCTGACAGTCCTGCAGTCACTGGGAGCCTGGTTGGTCTGCTCCAGCGTCCTCACAGCGCCCAGGCTCTGTGCTCACCTCAGTCAAGGCAGATGGACAGACATGGAGCCCCAGGACCTCCCCACCCAGAGCAGTGTTGGGTCCTCTGCTGGCGGGTGGTCAGAGCCACCCACCAGCGTTCCAGCAAGGATCCATTTCTGTTCTCTTAAGTGGAGGTAACAACCGAAAATAAGGATCTGTGGTACCTCTCGTTGCGCCTCCTCGGCTCACCGCCTCCAACGCATGGAGTTAGAGGACGATCTTGGTTTTCCTTTCTTCCCCCCAATATACCTGGTTCCTTGGAGGCCACTTGGGCAATTGGATGAGTAGTTTCAAAGGTTTCTTTCTGGGATGCCCAACAAGGAAATGACCAATGTTGGTTTGGCTCTCTCTCCTAAAGAAACTCATCCTTCTTCATCCTTCTTGACATAACCCTTGCCTCAGCAGAAATCAGGAAAGACACAGGAAATTCCTAGTGCTGTAAAAGCCAAAGACCCAGCTGGCTGTTGCAGTTCTGCACAGCTCTATGAGGTAGGTATCCTTTTTGCGTCATAATATTCATGAGGAAGCTGAAGTACAGAGATTCAACAACTTGCCCACACATCTAGTCAATGTCAGAGAAGGGACCAAGACCCAGGAAATCTGGCTCTAGAGCTTGTGCTCTTAACCAAACACTATATTCCCCCTGGAGGTGTGAAGTGGGAAATGAGACAGTTTAGAATAGTATAAAGAACATGCAGGTCTGGTTCTGCTTTTGTTAGTGTTCAAGGACAGGAGTCACATTTTTGCAAAGGATCAAGGCTAGACTTTATATCAGGGTAGCTGGGAATGGGTGGACAGGAATGCACCCAGTGACCTTGCAAAAGTAGATGGGGTGAAGGATCACCCTCTTTGGGATGCAGTTGGAAGGGGAAGAAAGCTTTCCTGTCCTAGGTTGACAATACTTTACCTGCCCCCTGCCCCCTAAAACTAATCCTATTAATGAAGGATCTTCTGAGCAGTAAGCCTGTATTTAATTAACTATGCCAACGAACTTAATTACTTCCCAGTAGCTATTGTCCAGAGCACCTAAGGATTCCTTCTCCCAGACATTGTCAGTACCCAGATGAACCACAAAGATGGAACCCATTCATCTACATCTGTTGAGTACCTGTGATGCACTGGGCCCTGTGTTGAAGGCCACAAGGAAGAGCAAGATGTGGCTTAGTTGCAGAGGCACCTACAGTCCTTTGAGAAACAGAAACACCCGACCTAGGTTAACTCAGGGAGGTGAGCACCCTATTAGCTTCATGAACCAAGTACCACAGTAACACAGAGGTTACTCCCAGGAATCCAGGGGTCTTCCAAGGGTCATCTGCTGACAGATTACCCCAATGTGCAGAGGAAATGGAGGTTGGGAGCAACTACTGGTTTCTCCCAGAGGAGTGAAAAATCAAGCAGCTTGACACTGTCTACGCCTGCTCCTCCCACCTTCGCTCAGTTTATCACCCTGGATTTTCCGGGACAGGTGAAGATAGAGACCACCAGCCCTACCCCAGCTCCTCATCAGGGGTCTGGAGTTCCTCTGCTGAAAAAGGAGTGGGAGGTTGAAGAGGCATGTTTACCTGATTCTTCACCCCCAGACCTCAGTCTCCAGATCCCGACCTCCTGTGGGCACCGCCGGGGCCGAGATGTGGAACAAACAGCGGGGAAGAAATTCTGTGCCCTATAGCTGGCTCCAGATTCCCCAAGCCCCACTCTTTCTCCCTAAAACAAGACGCCCCTAGTCTGAGGCCTTCGGACGTTGGCTGTAATGCCTAAAATGTGTCGCAAGGTGGCAACGTTGTGGCGAGAAATAGACTTTTTTAAAAAGCTTGGATTTTTTTTTCCAAAACATATTTTCCCTATTAATGTTTCATTTAACTTAATTAGAATCTGGTAAACTAATTAAAGTAGCTACGAGCCCCGCAATCAGCAATAATTCGTATAATTATTGATAATTACATCCATACCAATCGTTTGGTTATTAACATTTGGGGGGGAACAAACCACTTCTGAAGGGAGTCGGAGCCCAGGAGGGCTTTTGCGACAGAGCTTTCTGGGTCGCATCCGCCTACACCTCCAATCCACAGAGATTCCGGCAGATGGGTCGCCCTTTCCGGCAGGTCCCAGACGCCTACGGCGCTTTCCCCGTTGTTTGGGGAATCCGGAAAGGAAAGGTGAAGAGGAATACTTGCCAGGCTCTTCAATGTGGGCCGCAGCCACGGAACTTTCTGGGTAGTAACAGTTGATCCCATTTTACAGAGAAGGAAAGTGCCGCTTCCAAAGAAGCGGCCCCGCCCAAAGGGAAAAGGCGCGTGCACTCTCCCAGCCCGCGCTCCCCGCAGGTCCCAGCTCCGCTCGCCCTTGGTACGCCCTGGGGACGCGTGGCTCTCCTCTCCGGACCTGTTTCCCCTTTGGTACACTGAAGGAATGATCCCGTTCCCTGCAGGGTCCCTGTCGGGATAATCGCGTGTCCCAAGGCGATTTCAACCCTTGGCGACACCTCACGGATTACCCGGCGCCCGCACCGCCATTCTCTCTCCTGTCCCCTCTGGATCTAGTACCTCGGAATATCCTGGGACATGAGGGCTCCGAGCCCCAGCGCAGGGTGTCCGGGGCCTGGCGTCCTGCCTGTGCCCCTTGCGGGAGGCCCCGATGGCGCCCTTGCTCGTCGACTCCGCCCCGGGTCCTCTGGACGACCCGCCACGAAATTTCCGCACCCTCGCAACCGAGGGCTCCCGGGCCCCGAGCTGCTCGTCCGGCGGCCCGGTACTGAACGCCCGCCTCCAGGGTCTCCGTCCAGGCCGCCCAGCGCCGCCAGGAGACGAGCAGTGGGGACCCCGGGGCGTCGGAGGGCTGCGTCGTCGGGGTGGGGGTCCGGGCTGCGGAGCGCTGCCCTGCGCTGGCTTCCCTCCCACAGCGCGTCCACGCGCCGGCGGGGACAGAGGCCTGAATATTAATTTAGAGGCCGAAACGGAGGCCTAGGAAGAATTAAGGGCAGGACACAGCACTCCTGCTAGTCAGCTAAGGAGGGGAAATTGGAAGCCAGGACTGAATGACTCCCGCGACCATGCGCTTTCCCACTCGAGCCGCACTCTCCTCCCGCTCCAAAGAGCGCGCTGCAGTTTCCATCCTTTATCTGCAGCCCAAGCAGCAGGTGCGCTGTGGAAACTGAGGCCGAAGGGAGGAGGGGGGCAAGGTAAGGCCTCAGCAACCGCGGCCGTCCCCACGGACTCCAGCGGCCGGCGTATCTCACCTTCCTCCTCGGGCTTCTCGACGTCCTCTATCCCCCTGGGACTAAAATGGACGGAAACTTAAAAACCACCAGGGCTTCCTCCCTCCGGGTAGCAGCGAGGCAGGCGGCAGGGCATCTGCGCACAAGCGGAGAGTCTCCCGCGAGCCTTCCAGGCCTGCGGGACCCAGACCCACCCCCACGTACCCTGTCCCTCCCGCCCCTAGGCCAGGCCGACGGTGCCCGCGCCTCCTGGCAGTTCTGGTTGAACCTGGAACTTCGGGCTGGGCGAGAATTCGGTCCCTGACACCCTGGAGGTGTCTTCCCCGGGGGGGGGCAGGTGTGCAAATGGGCACAAGTAAACTCTCAAGAGTCAGATACTTGCGGTAGTTCCTTTTCCCGGCGGAGGCCCCAGGAAGGATCCTAAACGTGGGGCGAGGGTTGCTGCTGGGCAAGCTGGGTGTGCCTGGAGGACTGGTGGAGAGGTCGGGGTGTTCGCCGCTGCTCACCTGAGCCGGCGCGATTTTCAGCTTGAGCGCCCCTGAACCCGAGCTGCGGTCCGCACATCCCACCTGTTGCGTGGCCCTCAGCCTGCCTCCGCCCCCCGCCCCTCCTCCAGCCACACTCCCACCTCCACAGCCCCAGGAAGTGACAGATTCACTTTTTTTTTATTATTAAAAACAAAAGTCACGGATACAGGGTGGTCTCCCCAATCAAGGTGGTTTCCATCTTGTGAGTCAGTTGTCGCCCTTTTTAAAGTGCTGTTACATCAAGAGATTACAACAAAAAATAGACAAAGCAAAACCCAAGGGGGAATGCAAAATGGACTTGGAAGTAGGTCCAGGAGAAGGAGGCAAAATAATTTATAGCATAAATAAATTAAAGTGAACCCAATACTGAACCAAGAGACTCACAGTACATTTATATCCATTGCACATAGCCACTTTGTCGTTAGGAACAAGTTTCAGAAGTGGACGGGGCGGGGAGCGCGGGGCCAGAGAAGTTGCTACATTGTATTCACAATAGGGGTTCCGAAGCTGTAGGGGGGCCCCTCCCCTTTTTTTACCCCCTTCGGTCCAGTTAACCCCATGAAGTCCGATGCCCCGGAGTTCAACCGTGGGGCGAGGTGATATTTACATTTGGAAATGAAGAAGGGGTCCTGGGCTGGGTCGCCCGGGAGGGGGCGGCCAAGGCCGAGGCGCCCGGGAGGAGAGCGGGCGGGCGGGAGGCTGTATTTACATCGGTCCGGTCTGAATGGCTTGTATCTCGCTCTCGGCCGCCGCGGCCACAGGTATTTACAAGAAGAGAGCAGCATGGCTTGAGGGCGCGTGGGCGCGGTCGGGCCGGCCCTAGGGCAACAGCGGGGGCTTGAAGGAGCAGTTACCAGTGCAGTGCCGGGGCGTCAGCATCTTGCAGGAGAAGTGGTGCAGGGCGTCGTGGGCTTCTGGGGAGACAGCCGAGTTGGCCCGTTGCGCGCCTCGCCTGCCTTACTTTGCCTCGCCTCACCCGAGCGGTACACGCGCCACCCCTCTACCCGTCTATGAGGGTCTCACCCACCCGCTTCAGCCTCAGGAGCTCTCAAGGGAGCGGATCAGAAGATGGGAGGGCAGTGGAGAGATCCTGGCGATTCAGAATCACTGCTCAGGTTCAATAGCTCCATTTTACAGAAGAGGAAACTGAGGCACAGTAAGATCAGCCCAAGACCAGATTTGGAAGCGATGACCGACTTCCCAATGCCCAGAGCTCAAGGGCTCTTTCTCCCTAGCCCACCGTTCGAGAATCATTTCTCCATTAAAATCAATTCCCATTTCTCTCCTCTCAGCTTCTGATCCATGTAGACCTGGCCTTCCCTTTTCACTAGCCACGTCGTGCATTCATTCATTCATTCATTCATTCGCCGGCACAGCCAGCGCCTAGCACCCTTCCTATCTTTATCCCCCGGCTTCCGCACCTTTTAATTTCTGCTGGATGGCATAGCGTGCCTTCCGCTCTTGGTCAAGTTCGTTACACAGAGTGTCTGGAAGACATGGGAAGTAGCTGGTGAGGAAATGAGACCACCTTAGGGCCCATTGGGGTCACAGCCCGGGCCTCACCCTCTTCTCAGAGCTCAGCCCCTGGCAGAAACAAGTCCTGGGGACCGAGGGAGGGGGCGTCGAAGCTCCAAACTGCAGCTTGGCGGAGGGAGGAAATGGCCTGGGATGGCGCTTAAAGGCAGACGGATCTAACCAAAATTAAAGCAAACTTAGGCATTACTTCCCAGGTAATTTTACGCCTCGATTTTTAATTTAGAAACCATGGAAATTGCCGCGATAAGAAGTTCAATCACTCCATGTAATGATGCCTGCAAGCCGTTTGCTGGGCTCGCTTGCCATTCTGAGGCTAATCCGAGTATACAAAGGATATTAAATAAAAAAAATAATTGTTAAATTACCTTCAATTTAAATCCAAATGACTGAGCCAACATTGCGGCTCCTGCCAGACGAGAGGCAGTTACGGCCCGTGCACGCGCTCACCTGACTCCCGTCTTACCTCTGACAATTTGCAGCTGTTGCACCATTTCTTCTCGATAAGCCAATTCCCTCTTCATTTGATCCTGAAAATTATCTGTGCAAATTGATTAAGTGAGAGCTGTTACGCACAGCCCCCTCCCTCGGTCCTATTTCCCCACTCCCCACTCCCCAGCCCCAGCCCCACCCCCTCCGTCGTTGGCCTAGCGGGTAACCCTGGGAAAGGGGGGAGTTCGGCGGCTCCGGCTGCGCGCGCAGCGGCAGATGCCTGCACGGGGGTCCTGGGGCGAGGCCGGGGCGTGCGGGAAGAAGGCTCTGGAGATGAGGTTCGGGCGGGTTGGAATGGGGGTACCTTTGAGACTCTGAAATTCTCGCTCCAGCTTCTTTCGGAGCTCCATTTGTTCCAGGAGCAATTTTTGCAATTCGTCTGTGAAGGGGCCAGAGTGGGAGGTAAAGGAGGAGGGTGGTGGGACTCAGGGGGGCCTATAAGGCAGCCAGGTCCTGTCCTGGCCGGCAGCCCTGAGATGGGAGCTGAGGAGGGTGGGACTGGATAGTGGAGACCCTCAGCAGTCAGTTTTTCTATCTGCATCCAAAAGATTTTGCGCAGGAAATGGGGTTAGGGGATGAAGTTGCCCAGGAGAATCAAATTCAGGACAGCAGAACGCATGCTAGACTTCTAGGCCCTGGCCCCAGGCACTAACCAGCTTTGTATCCATTCTAAGTTGTTCCTAACTCACTAAACTTAGAGGTTGGCCCACAAAGACTCAGTTTACATCTTCAAATGACAGACCTAATCACTCCCTTCAACGATACAGACCAGGGAGAATCCAAAGTCTTGGACCCCCGCCCTGGAAAAATACACATATTCACCACAGTTTACAATTTCAAAAGGTCCCAGGACCCCACATCCATATTAAGAACCCTCATATACAGCACTAAGGATTTTGAAGGTAATTGCATAGACTGTAAACTCCATAATTAAGAAGAATGGAAGAGCAACAATGCTTCTCTCCCTCCTCACACCAATTTCCAAGTCCAACCCCGGGTAGGGGGGGAATTGGGTGTGGAAAGCCTCGTGGATGCCCTCAAAAGCAGCTCCAAAGGAGTGGCAGGGAGCTGCCCTAACCATGGAGCAGTTGGTATCTGGGTCCTCCACATGGGGAGTTTCTCTGAGAAACCCTCCCTTGGCAGATGCTCCAAAAACAGAAAAATGGGAGACAGAAGAGCAAAGTGGGGTGAGAGGCTCCTCTTTCTGTGCCTCAAGCCATCCTCTTTCCCTTGCTTCACTCCTAGGATCCCATTCCACCAACAAGCTCCATCCTCACCCCATTTAGGGTGGGGTGGAGTCATTCTGCATTAATTTCAGGGAAAAAAATTAACCTCTCAGACGTTCCTAAAGTAAATGCCTCCACAAAATCTTGCTATTCAGAAAATGTCATGTTTTCCCATGAGGTTGAGAGACCCAGATTGTCCCGTCTGATTGTCCACATGCATCAAGTTCTGAGGATCATTACTCATTGCTCATTCTCAGAAAGGCTCTTATCCAGAAAGTCTGGACCATGGGAACTCCAGGGTGGTTGACTCCCTCTCCCCTCCCCCTTACCCCCCCCCACCTCTGTGCCAGGATAATGTGTCCAGGGGAGTACCCTTTTGGCTCAGTGAAGACTGATTTCCCCAGGAGCCTTGTTGTCTCACACTCACTCCTACAGGAATAACACCCGCTACAAGAAGGCCCGGTCTCCCCCACGCACAGCATATACCCCATTTCACAGGGTTAACCTCACCTCTGGCCAAGTTCTCGATATCTTTCTCCACTAGTTGAGTTCCCGTGACATCTAGGGTGAGTCCATCTTCACCTGGGACACAAGGGCAAGCGAGAGGGGTTTTCTCCTGAGCGAGGCCTTAGGAGCGGAACCGTGAGCTTCCTGGGAACTGCACTAATTTGGGGACCAATTTCAGACTCTGCCTTCAGAGAAGACAGTTACAGGCATCCAGTATTACCCACCTTTCAAGGCCTTATTTTAGGGGCTACAGCCAATATGTTAGAGTGACCCACTGGAGGAGAGTGGACCCAGGGAAAACAGGCTACCTTAGGGCAGGAAGTGCCCTTTGACCTGTTTTATGTGGGTGATGATGCTTATTTCCTTCCATTAAGCCTCCTTGCCTTACCCGGAAGATCCCCGAAGCCACCAAGGAGGCAAGCAACTCAGAAGGAGTGCCAGAACCTTGCCCACGCTGTTTAAATATTTATCTGCCAGCCTCGAGAGGGGACCGGCAGCCCCTTAGGCTTGATGGGAAACCTTCCTCGCAAGCCGGAGCCAGTGCAAACCTGGGCGACCTGGGCTCTAGCTCTGGGGTGGGGGTGGTGCGTGAGGGTCCTAGGGCTCACCTCGGTCTGTATTTGCGGGACTTGGCTGGGAGATACTCCTTTGGTCTGGATAGGATTTCCTCGTTTCCAAATCGTCGGCGGTCGAATGATTGTCTTCCTTATCCGGCTCTTAAAGGCAATAAACCGAGTTTCAAGGAGAGGCAAAGAAACCGTGACCCCGATACAGAGCTGCCGCGGTCGGGGCGCCCGAGCCCTAATTAAAAGCTTCGTGGCCGCCGCTGGTTGCCGGCTGCGCGCCTGGGCCCGCACCCTCAGGCTTTGGGCCGGGCACCCCCCTCCTTCACGCGCGATCTGCTCATCTCCGGTTCCACGCCCCCTCCCCAGCCCCTCGGAAAAGAGCGAAACGAGCAGCCGAGCCCACCAGGGACGAGCGACCTACATCGCGCGCAGATACTGGGGCACCGCGAGCGCGCGTGGCCGCCAGGTCTACCTGCGCCAAGAACGCGGTCCAGGCGGCGACCCGCCGGGTAGCCTCAGCGGGGGAGACACCCTCCCGGGCTCGGCCTGCCCGGATTTCTGCGACCCTCAACCCCTCCTTTGAGAGCCATTGGGTCCCGCGCGCGCACGTGCTGGGCTACCGCCGCGTTGGGCTACAGCTACCACGGCGTTTCAGGGGTACCCAAGCGCGCCACCAAGCGCCCCCACCTCCGCCCGGACCAGGCCTCACCACAGGGGAACTTGGGGCCAAAACACTTGCTAAATAAACGAAAGGACTTTAAAAGGGTGCCAAGAGTGTCTTTTAAAAGGTTTAACCCAGTGAATGAAGTGTACGTGAGCGGTGTCTGTGTTCTGGGGAGGGTGGTCTGTTGTTAAGTAACCAAACGATGCAAGTTATTGGGAGTCCTCGCTTAGCTTCCTTTTTCTTTCTCTGGTTTTCTTTCCCTCTCCCTCTTTCTCTCGTTTTCTCTGCTCTTTCTTTCCTCCTCCCGTTTTTCCTCGCAGGCCTCCCCTGGCCCCGGCCCTCTGCCCGCGGTCCTCCTATCACGGTTGTCCTACGACCTTGGCAGGGGGGCTGGGGGCGTTACCGTGGGCCTCGGGGGTGCAGAGGTAGGAGGCCGCGGGCCCCAGCGCCGCCGCCGCGCTCTTCACGTGCTCGTCCCGCTCGGGCGCGTACACCTGCGGCGGCCGAGAAATGACAGGCGGTTAGGAGGGCGCTTGGCGGAGCCTCGGTGCCGCCCAGCCCTGAACCGCGGCCGGAAGGAAACCTGAGGAGGTGACTGAGGTCAGTTTGCCCGCGGGACCGGAGCACCCCGGGCGGCCGTGACGCACGCGGCATAGCCCTGCGCCCTAGCCCTGCGCCCTCTGAGGCCGCATCACCACTGTAGATCCCGAGTAATTATTACCGCCCTCGAGAAAATTACCCGAAATACGAAGCGGCTTCCAAGCCAAAGGCTGCTGAAAGCCGCCCCCACCCTCTTTGCCGGCCTCCTTTTCGTCATCTTCCCTCCCGCCCGCGCCCAGTCCTCGGCATAAATGACTCCTTTAGCATGCGGCTAATGATTCCTATTTTAATGGACCGAATGGAAATGTACAGGTGTGCGCACCCATTTTCAAACGGCCAACGATTCCAGCTTAGCAGCACACACACACACCCCACCCGAACCCGCGTCCCTGCCAACCCGAGATCCCCTCTTTCGCCCCGAAAACCGTCTCGACAGTTTTCTTCCAAGGAACCCTGAGGTTCCCAAGTTCGAAGAGACTCGGAAATCTACGACTTGGGTCAGAGGAAGGTTCCGGGTACCCTGTATTGCGGTTTGGGGGAAAGGCCGCCCTCTCCCCTCCTTTCCCGCTCATCTTCCCCTGAGCTCTGATCCCCATCCAGGCGGGCGTGCTACGCCCTTCTCGCTTTTCTCTGGCTTTTGGTCCCTTTCCCTCCTCCACTTTCTCCCTCCAGACCCATTGTATTTCTATCTGTCTCTGTGTGACAGCCTGTCTCTACCTGTCTCCCCATTCCCATCAACAAAAACACAGCACACACATTTCTATCTTATGAAACCCTCAGTCGGGGGGTCCATGGCACTCCCGAAGCTGGGCCTACCGAGAGCAGCCGGGGCCTACTGCTGTAACATCCGCTCAGAACTAAATTCCGGCTCCCCACCCGGCCAGGACTCGCCCCACATCCCCAAGCTGCCGAGGGATAAGCGAGGAGACACCACCAGCCGCAGGGGCGCGGGGCTCACCTTGGCGGGCGCGGGGCCCCCCAGCGGCCCGCAAGGCTCTCGCAGCTCATAGCCGCCGCTCGGCGGGCTCGTCTCAGGTCTCCGCACCATGTCGTCGGTCGCCAGGTCCCCAAATGCGGACCGGCTGGTTGGGGGTAGCCCCGGGCGGCGCCGGGGGCGAGGGCTGCCGCCGTCGGGAGAGTCTGTGGGGCCGTCAGCGCCTGAAGAGGTGGTAGACGGGGGCCCTGCGGGCTGTTCGCCGTCCGGGCCGCCTCCTGTGCTGGGCGCGCCGGGCACTCCGGGCTCGCCCTCGTCCGGGGCGCCCTCGTCGTCGGGAAAGCGGTTGGACTCCACATCCACCTCGGGCTCGTCAGCAGTGTCCACGTCGGGGGAGGCGGAGTGGTAGCTTGAGCTGCCCTCGCTCAGAAAGTCTGGGCTC